CACAATTCAATAGGAATTTTGCTTCAAGCATTCGACACACCGTGTAGCAGATACATTTGCCGCACGAACTGTCGAACTTTTTGACTCAAATGTTCAGTCCAATGTTGGAACGAATGTTCGACGCATCGTGTAGCGCCGGTTTAAGCCTTACTGACGAGTCCAATAGGTAGGCCCGGAACGTAACGCATGGTGATTCAACGCGCGCCTTATTGGTGACCCCGACGTGATCTTAAGCCGCAGGAGACAGGGCTGCAACATGAATCGCCTTTCCCGTTCTGACCCGATACGATCGATTCACTGGTACACTTCTTCGGCAACATTGGCCCGTCGATTCTCGCTCACCTTGCTCTCTCCTGCATATTTCAGTCAAGAATAATTTCGTCCCACGCTTTCCTCTCTCGCTCATATCTCTCTCTCTGTCGTTCGGAATCAAGTACTTTATTTTTCTTATATTCATTCATATTCATTATTCATATAATTATTGTAAATTATTTAAAGTAATTTTGCTGTAATAAACGTCTTATCGTAATTGTCTATTGTTAAACTTGTGACTCTATTTCATTTATGTATACTCATATACGAAATAAAGAGCATTATTATTATTATTATTATTGTTTTTCCTTATTTGTCAATGCTACTAGCGATTTTTAAAGCGATTTTGGAGAGCCGGTAGAAAAATTGAGCTTACTTACGTACCCCTGAACGCAATGGGCAGCTGTTAAAAGGTATTTGTTGTTGATCAAAGATGCACCGCAGTAGAACCTGTTGTTGTATTGTAGTGCTACCATCCAAGGATATTCATTCACTAGTGTTTCTACACCTCCAACAATCCTTTTGTGTTGAAGAGCAAGTCCACAAACTAATAGTCGAGAGATAAAATACAGAAACAACAAGGAAATGGCTTATTGATTGAAATACAAATACTCACCACATTTAGAACATTGAGAAGGGTCGCTAGTTTCCGGAGCCACAGGTAATTGATTATTATCCGGTTTAAAGCCAATGGTACCCAATACCCAATCAATAATGTTTTTATTAGTACTGTGGACTAACGGATTGCTTATATCGACTTCTGCACTTGTTCCCTCTGACTCCATAGTTATAGACCTCGGTTTATATCTGAAATATTGTAATACAACTTAATTATAATTAGAGTGTGTGTATGGGAAAAAACCTGTCGATGTTACAGGACTCTAATTTTACAGGTGTGAGTGATAATTCTACTGAATTTCATAATTTCTGTTGATTTTCTTAAGTGCATATCAATATATGTAAGACGTGTTTTCAACACTGATTTTCCTCTTAAGCTTAAGAAGCTTACGGGTAGGTGCCTAATGGTGGAAGTAAATATTGAACTTTAGAAAACAGTACAATGTTAATATCGTGGGCTTAACGCTGAAACTGACTAAATAAAAAATATAAATTTTTGACAATTTCACATATAAGCCGAACCAAAAATCAGAATTTCTTAGAAATGTACCAATATAAACTTATCATAAGTATTAAAGTACAACGATAGTAAAATTACTCAAAAATTGCTTGCCAACCCCGTTTTTTCATAAAAGAACAAAGCCCATATCACTCGTTATCATTTCGTAATAGATGTAATAGCAAATACGTATAGCCTAGCACTAGTATACGAAGCCCTTAGTATACGTCACACAGGAAAACAACAATCATTACTTTAAAAACTTATGGGAACACAGCCCATGAAATCTAATTTTAAACCTCAAACTAATCAATTTAATCAACAATTCAGAATACCATTTGTTATTCCAGCGGCGCCTCAACAAAATTTTGCACCTTTTAATGCACCTATTAATACATTATACGGTAGTATTTATGCCAAAGAATAATTTTAATCAATTTACATGACATCCAATAAATGTAAGACCAAATTTCAACAAAATGTCACGACGATTTCCAATAAACTGTCGCGTTTTTGGAAAATCATATAAATTAAACATATTTAGACCCAATCAACACAAACCACTTCCTGCTCCACAACCAATCAGTATATGCATATTAGGGCCAAACGCACATTTTCCTCAGTATAATCGATTTTCTACACCTAATTTTCAAGGAAATTCACAGTTTCCAGAATAATCAGCCTAAATACCAATTGAAGTTGAAGAATTATACAACGCTGAAATGCAATCTACAACAAATAATGACCAATTTTACCAATATGCATTTCCCGAAGCGTTCGATGAACCTGAATATGACCCGACATTCGCTGAATATGCATATTCACAAGAAACAACAGAAACCCCGAGCTCAGACAATAATAATGAAAGTGATCTAGTTTCACAAGAGGAAACCATAATTTTTTGGATGACGCCTCAAAAAGACAATCCAACTTAGTTATCTCTTTAAACTCTACCAATGCAAATGAGCGATCATTCATTACATTGCCTGGAAACAACATTAAACTTATAATTGATTCCGGTTTCACTAAATTTTGTATTAATCCTGATTTAGCTGAAAAATACTAGAATAACTATATAATTGATATAATATATATATAACTATATATAACTATATAATAACTTATCTATATAATTGATGATCCATTTATTGTTGGTACCGTGTTTAAAAAATCAGTACATCGCCACAGTGCTTCAATACCAGCATCTAGCATCTTCAAACTTCTTAATAAGCAACATTTTCAAAGTTCCTTTGAAACCGATTTYTAAAAAATACAATTTTATTCTAGCAGCAACGCACGACTCAAAGTTTTGAAATGAGCGAATTCAACATTCCCAGTATGCTGCGTCTAGGCTGGTTCTGCTGTTATCTTGAGGTTGTGGGCAGAAAGGGTGTACGTAACTCCTCCCTCCTTAAACTGCAAACGCAAGAGATGAAGTTTGCAGGGGCTCGGCAACAGCTTGGGGGTGGTTCCTCCTGGTCAGGCAACTTGGCTTTCTTCTGATATTTACGACACCTATGTGGCAACTGCGAGTCCAATGTAGATGGTTAGTATTTTGAATGTAGAAATGCTGTCATCTTCTTCTTTAATTTCTTCGATTGGTGTCAGCCGCTTGACGAAGTATTTTAATTGGTATATTCCTTCAAAATTGATTTGCGTTAAGTTTACAATGACAGATTTTTTCCTGTTCCTAGGCGAATATTGCTCCTGAATGTTTTCTTCTCGATGACGATTTCACAGTTTATTGAAATATTGATTTATGTGGAAATATTGATTTATTTTCACAGGACAGTTGTGTTTTTGACGCGAATAGCGATGACTCCTTCTTGGGTTATTTGTGCAATAAATGTTTCTTTGAAATTGATATTTGAAAGATATTTGGTTTGGCATTTACTGAGTGGTTGGTTGGTGATCAGTTGAATAGTGCATTCATCGATTGGTGCAATTGTTTCTTGACAGTAGAAGACTTGTTTCATTAGTGGGCAGCTGGTCTCTTCGAATTGCGTACTCTTTTCAGCTCTTGCCATGTAAGGGTACTTGGGAATGATTACGCTGTGGTTTTTGAATAACTGGGTATGAATGGTCGAGTTGAATGTCTCAGGTCTTATAATAGGAACATGAATAGCAAAAATAATTTTGTCAACTGTGAATGAGACTTGTGTTCCAAAGTACTGGTAATAATATAATATATCTTCGAATTTTGGAACCGCATTATCTTCATAAACTAATTTGATTTTTGTAATAGATTCCTTCAACTCTTTAGCAGAAATTATTGAATTGTATAAAGTATTCAATTCTGCACACAATATAGCATCTTGCGAGTTATCCAAATATGTCAGCAGATTCTGACAATCTAAGTTGATTTGTGACAGACTCCTTGAAAGCTTATATAGCTTTATATATTGTTAATTTGTTTTTTAGATGTGATAATTAGTGTGTTGATACTCTTTTGTAACTTCTTTTGATTGCAATCAAGAACTGATATTGTTTTCATAAAATTTGAAATTAAATGTTTTGATAATGGTTGTTGGTTATTGGTCTGCCTTATAACGTTTTCCTGATTTTTCTGTAGATTTGATATTGCCCGACTATATTTCTTCGCATTTTCGTTATCAAATATGCCAAAAAGCCATTTGCTTGCTTGACCTACTATGTTAATTAATTCTCGTTTATTTCTAGGGTTCTGATATAAATTTTGTAACTTATTTTGTGTTACATTAACTAAATATTCTGTTCTAAGCAATAGATCATTTGAAAAAGCGTGATATGACATAGGGTTAGTTGCTGATTCTTTAGATATATGAGTTTGTAGCTTAGTATAATATAGTTTGATATTAGTAAATTGTTTGTTAAGTATTGATAAATCTATATAATGCAAAAGCGTATGTTTTGTTCTGTGGTAGGTAAATTAAAAACAGTTTCTGGTTTTTCTGGTGGCCTTAATTGAACTAGTGCTCAGATATTATAATGATTTTCTGGGAGGGCGAATCAAATATTTCTTGAATGAAACTTGGATCTACGGGTGGAATTTTTGAGTTTTCTAAATAGTTTTCAATTATTTTATCGGCATCTCCTGTGTTGTTGTGTGTTGACATTGACACAGTTTACGTTTCAGATTTACGTTAAAATAGCTGGAAATAAAATGTCATTGATCTTAGCTGACTTGCCGAGAACTTCGCCTTCCAAATTGTTGACGAGTAGTTTCTTTACTAATTTGTCGTTTAGATTTACCGAAAATGAAATTTTAACATCCGTTGGTTCTCTATATTTAAATGGAATGTTCATGTAGTGACTAGGTAGTGTTTGATTTAATAAATCGATATTTAGTTGTAAATTTATCAATTCTTTGAGTCCTATAACTCCATCAAAATAATCGTGTAAATAAAATAGCATGAAATCAATTTTATATTAATTCCGAATTCTGGGAATATTGGTATTTTGGCTTGATATTGATTTTTTTGACTGCCATTAGCTGTTTTGATTTTGTTACTGTAATTGTAGATATGATTACAGAAATATTTTTAGGCAATTGCTGGAATCAAAATGGATAGACTGCATCCCGTGTCGACAAGAACTTTTAAATTAGGACATCTTATCTCAACATATGGAAGAGCGTTATTTGAGATAATATTTATTTCTATCAGAGTTGGTTCTCTATTCCAACAGCATATTGAAAATTTTGGGTTGTTTCAATATAGGATTGTGGTTGGTTCTCTTCTTTGATTTGGAAAATTAGGTGTTGTATGAAATTTGTTCAAGATAATCATTAGCATCATCGATATTGTGACTGTATTGACCTTGGTCATAATCATCTTGGTATTCTTGGTTGAATAATTTTTCAGAAATGAAATTTCTTTGGTTGGGATTCGAGTTTCTTGTGAAATAATTGTTGTTTGGAACATTTGTCGAACGACTGGTCTAGATTGAAAACTTTAATTTTCGTGGTCAAAGGCATTGGTGTTGGTCTAGGAAGTTGATTTGGGTTTCTTTGATTGGGTCGAAAAACATTTTGGGGTTTTCCAAAAACTAGAGAATTCGTTGGGTATTTGTGAGGTGGTAATGGTCTAGGTTCAATCTTTATTTGTTAACTAGGCCATTGAATTTTTGGTTGAAAGTTTTGACGAAAATCTGGTGCATTACATTTGAAATTGGGATTTATTGAATTAGAATAGTTTTGTTGGAAATTTTTGCTGAGGTGAAAAGTTTTTGAATTCATTTGGATTACCTTGTTGAGCAGGGTGATTATTTGACATTTGTTGGAGTTGATTTGGTCTTAAGTTTCGACTTTCGTTATGGTTATTACCATAAATCTTTCATATATGCAATGGCATCCTCTGAACTATTTGATTTCTCAAGATGCATGTTGTTTTTTAAAGTACCGGTACAACCGGCAGCAAAAGTGCTTAGTGCGATTTTGTCGAAAAGTTTAACTTGATAAATTTCTTCTTCAGTATGTACTGCAGTATTGTTACCAATTCTTTGAGCAATACTACTTCTTAACAATTGAAGACGATTTCCGAAATTAATCAAGTTTTCATTTTTGTATGGTGTAGTTCTGGTTAGTTCCTGAATAATACAATCCATATCTCTTCTATTAGAAAAACATTGTATTAAGGTATTTCTTAGGCCCGAATTAAAGAACAACACTCAAGCATCACTCACACCAAAATCAGTCTCATCTGAGCCTAACCGTAT